CAGATGCCCTCTTGTCACAGAGACCGGACAGAGCGTGATGCTGGGTGAGGGGGCTGCCGGGGTCACAACTACGGCCGTGACCCATTGGTATCTTGGGTGTGCCCACCTGGGGTCAGCCCTGGACAGCTCAGCGTCGGGGGGAGGGGAGGGCTCTGTGGGACCACGGGACAAGCTTTTAACAATACGCCTGCCCACCCCCCACCCCTGCCCCAGACACTGGGTTGGTCTGGGGTGAGCCCGGACACCAGCATTTGTTAGATGCGCCCTGAGCTGAGTCACAGTGTAAGACCTCGGCATAAACTCTGTGGATAAGGTGCTGTCCTTATTTCTGCCCATTTTACAGAGGAGAAAACCGAGGCCCAGAGTTGCCGGGGTTTACCTGAGGTTACACTCGGGGTACTCCTAGCACCGCAATGCCACACCCCACTCATGGTTCGGTCTTCATGATGTTAATGATGGAAACAACAATGTCACCTATGGCAGGCTTTCTCGGTGTGGCTCCCCATGCATTTGGGACTTGGTGGCTCTTTGTTGTGGGGGGAGGGGCTGCATGATGCCCCCCCCCCCCAGTGATGTCCCTGCCCTAATCCCCAGAAGCTGCGACCCCGTGAAGCAGACTTCGCGCAGACGGGGGGAGGGGATGGTCCCGGCTTGTCAGGTGGGGCCCGTGGCATCCCAAGGGTCCTTAGAGGAGGACGGGGGGTGAGAAAGAGTGCGATGATGCGTGAGTCGGGGGTGGAGGACGGGCCATGAGCAGGGAACGCAAGTGGCCTCGGGAAGCCGGAAAGGCCGGGAGACGGATTCTCCCTGGAGCCTCCAGAGGGAGCCGCCCTGCGACACCCTGACTTCTGGCCCTCCGCCCTGTCGGAGAGGAAGCCTGGGTTCTTTTGAACCCCTTCATGGTGATTTGTTACAGCAGTAACAGGAAACCACCCCACCCTCTGTCTCTGGGACAACCAAACATGTCTGCAGACTTTTGCCACGTGTCCCTGGCAGAGGGGAGATGTGGGTGACACGGACCCTGAGGGGGAACCATCCGTGCTGAGTTTCGTGCGCGTGTGGCCCGGCTGGCTGTGACTCAGCACCATCTCGTCTGACCCTCTGGCAAACGTGCCTCGATTGCCTCCCCGGCCCATTCTGCAGAGGAGAAGGCTGAGGCTCCGGGCCGTTACAGGGGCACCTGAGGGCGAGGTTGCACAGACAGGGAGGGCCTCCGTTCCAGATTGTGTCTGTGCACCCCAGCACCTCCCACCGGGAGACGGGCCTGGCTGTACTGCTCCCAGATGATGCCGGGCCTTCTGGGGGCTTCAAGGCCCAAATGGGTAGCAGCCAGACCTCCGCCCCCCCTCCAGCAGCTCGTGGAGAGCCCACTGAGGGCAACAAAAGCCATAGGGTCCCAGGTGGGGGTGGGGAAGAGAGGGAGGGAATCCCGTGTCACAAAAAGTGAAGCCAGGCGGTGGCTGTGGCCCAAACTGCTTCTCCAGGAGCAGGTGTCAGAGCACTGGCTTAGGAGCCCAGGGGCCGGGGGTCAAATCCCGTCTCTACCTCTTGGGCAATTGTCTAACCTCCTAACCTTGGGCAATTGGCTAACCTTCTGACTCTGGAAGGCTCCGCCCCGGGGCGTGGGCCCCACTTAACAAGCCGCCCCAGGCCTGTTACCGGTGCTTGACCAATCCGAACCCTCTCCGGGACATCCTACCCGCAGTATCTGGCTTGAAGAATCCCTTTTCTGCTGGAGTTGCCAAACTCGCAGGCCCTAAGCCTTGAGCAGCGGGCAGACACATGAAGAGAGTCTCTCGGACAGACGGAGAGAGAGAGAGGCCTGAGTGTAATGCTTGAGTCCCTGGATCTAGCCATTCCTGAAGCTAGCTATCTCTTGATTTCCCAGTGGCACAAGCAAACAGATTCTTTGGTAAGTCTAGGTGAGCCACGTTTCTGTCACAGCCAAGATGCTCCCGAACGACTCCCTAGACTGCTGGCTGCTCAGAGTCCCCCACCTTGGGTGTCGGCTAACGCCCCCCAGGTGAGGGGTCCCACCTGGGCTCATCCCGAGACAAGTAGGGAAGCTGGACGAGAAAACAGAATTGCATTTGTGAGCAGTTTGCGGTGGTTCGGGAAGACCACCTCTGACTCATGCAGCAGACTGCCCCCCATTCAAGTCCAGGGACTGCAAACTCTGTCTGCCCAGCTCAGGGAGGAAGGGAGGCTGCGTGGGTGGAGGGCTGGTGAGAACAAAAGGCGGGGGGCTGCACGGACTTCATCATTCCCGGCTAGCTAATGGTAGGTAGTTAATTTCTCTCCCGAAGAGCCCAGCGTTGACCTTCACCTCCAGCCCCCATTAACCGCTGGCAGTGCTTTGTCAGCGTGTTTACGGCGAATTAATTATACAGAGAGGGGAGATCTCGCAGGAACCGGAGCGCTCCGGCCGGGGGCTGGCGGTGCGGACTGAGGATCCTGGATCCTCCGCTGACAGGGCCTGGTTAACCACAGACCTGGGGCAAACTTAGAGGCGAGCCGTTTTCAGCTCGCCACAGACGAAAGACGATCCCAGAAGCAGCGAGCCAAAGCCAATCTCCAGCCCCTTAGACCCGGTGGCACGTGGGCCAAGCGGATATCCCGGGGGCGGGGGGGAATGATCTGGGGGCCCCAGGTCAACACGGTGGCAGAGAGAACTGTCCCCCAGCAAGCCGGGCAATTCCAGCCCCTGGGGCGCCAGGTCATCCCTGGGAGACAGGTAGGGCGGGGCTTGTACCGCGCTCAGGGTCGAGCCCAAAGTCCCAGGCACACGTGGTCGGGCACCTGGTTCCCTCCAGCCAACCCCCTGCACGTTTTCTTTGCCCCGTGCTTTCCAGCACCCAACCCACGATGGAGCTCTGCACGAGGTCCCTTGTTCCGGTCCCGGGCGTCTGCCCCGCCCGTGGTCCCGCCTAGAACGTCGTTCCCACCCCACCCGACCCCGCTCCGCCAGGGGTGGGAGAATGGGCTCACGGGTTTCTCCTCCCCCAGGAGCCTCGGGGACCTTCCAGACAGTGTGTTGGGGGGTTCCGCCCTCCCCCACCCCCCTGTGCTTAGTCCTGCTCGGGACCCATGGCGATGCCCGCCTCTCCCGCCGACTGTGAAGTGCTCACCGCGGTCAGGGCTGGGTCGTCCTCCACCGGCAGCCCCAGGGCCGGGCCGCATGGCGCACAGGGAAGGGGGTCTGTCCAGCATTCACCGGGGGTGCAGAGGGGAGAGACCAGGCCCCCGTGCCCAGGGAATTCACCGGCCGATGCCGGGGGAGATGCGGTGGACTTCTGAGCTCCGCGCCTGTCCCTTTTCTGTGACTTTAGAGCACTGGCCACGCCCTCAAACCAGGTGACTTGGGGGTGGCTGACTGACCCCCGTCCTGGTGCCAGGGATAGATCATGTGACACCAGTCGGCCAATCACAGCATCCCGTTGCTCCGGCTAATGACCTCAGCTGGGAGGTGGTCCCATGACCAAAGCCATCCACCTTGGCCTTGGCTATTGGAAAGCGGTGCTCAGGGTGGGGGCCAGGAGCTGCCAGGGGCCATCTTTGCCAACCCAGAGGAGAGCAGAGCAGAGACACGGAAAGAAGGAGGCTGCGTCCCGAGACATTGTCTGCCTTCCGGGATGGAGACGTTCCTGAAGCAATACTTGTGCTTGGCCTTGTCTGCATGAGAAGAGTCAGCACATCCCCTTTTGTGGGAAGTGGGTCCCAGCTTCCTGTCATCTACAAAAAGTGAGTTTTGAGAGACAGACGAGTAACAAGGCAATGGCACGGGTTTGACAGGGAAGCACAGGAGGCCTCAGGGGCAGCGAAGAGACACAGGCTGGAATGAGAGCTTGGGAAGCTTTCCTGGACAAGGTCGCGTCTCAGCCGAGACCTGCTGGCTGCGTAGCGTAGAGCTAAGGAAAGGCGGCGGCAGAGGTGAGAGGGACATACCACACTGGGAAACTGAAATCCGCCTGGCACGGACTTCCACACTAAGGAGACAGACACATGGGCTCATCTAATGGACAGGAGCAAAGATAGAGCCTGCTTCAGGAATGGCTGGATCCAGGGGCTCAAACAATGCCTTAGGACGCGTCCCCTTTAGGGGACATACCAGAAGTGTTCTATATTGGTCCGGGCACTGATCAACGTGTCGAGGAACTCAAGATCTTCCCAGCCAAGTTGAAAAGGCATAAAGGTTTGTTCCGTGACATTAAAAAAATATATATATTTATTTATTTTGAGAGAGAAGGAGACAGAGAAAGAGAGAGCGTGTGGGGGAGGGGCAGAGAGAGAGGGAGAGAGAGAATCCGAAGCAGCCTCCAGGCCGTCAGCGCAGAGACCGACGCAAGGCTCAAATCCACAAACCCTGAGATCATGCCCTGAGCCGAAATCGAGTTGGACGCTTAACCGACGAGCCACCCAAGCACCCCTGGTCAGTGACCTCGTTGACTGAGTCTCTGTGATGAGCCAGCCCTTCCTCCACCAAGGCGGATGCTAGCCCCAGGGGACGCGGCTCCTGGGCGTTGGACAGTCACGGTCCAGTAGAGTTAACGCAAAAGAGAGAGATGTACGGGCGTGGCATTGGGAGGGACAGTGCACGTGTAGCTGTGTATGTCGTGGGCGTAACAAGTGGAGCACATGAGTCCACAATGGCCCTGCCCGGCTGACCACCACCTTCTTCTAGCCTTCTCTGTCTTCCTCCCATCATCCCTCTGAACCAACCCCACTCCGTTCCTTTGTTCTGGAAATGCCACTGCGCCCACAGCCCTTCCAAGGGAACCCCGTCCACCCGCGAGCACCAAGCTGGCGTAAGACAAACATTCCTTGATGACTGGCCAGCAGAGGCCCCCTGGCCCGTGGGCTGGCCAGTGACTCCCACTGGGGCCCGGACGGCAGGGATCTGTTTTCTGGAAGTTCAGCTAAGAAGGGCCGAGAGATCAAAGTCAAGGTAGGGAAGTTCTAGAAAGGTCGAGTTGGAAAGAGGTCAGGCAGCCATAACGGGCCTTGAGGAAGTCAGGTCTTGAGTGACAGGAGGGTGGGTAGCCATGATGGAAGGCGGGCTAAGGTGGTGGTAGGGGCAGAGGTGACCCAGCCCCAGGCCAGGCCCGGCCCAAACGCTGACCCTTGCCGGTCGCGTGTCAGGAGGCAAGAAGGCGGAAAAGGACGCTTACGGAGTCCAGAAAGCATAGTACCGAAGGTTCACTGGTGTTCGCCTGCTCTTTCCGAGAGAGGCTGGCTGTCTGTTCTGGGCTCGACCTCCCCCTGGGACGCCACGTCTGGGGTTCTGTCCACCCGGCCGCCGTCTTCGGCGTTGTGGGGATCCCTGCTTTCAAGAGTCACAGCTTCTAGGGGGGAGAAGAGCTTCGAGACGTTGGCGCTGAGGGAGGAAGCCGGGTCCGGAGGGAACTCCCTTCTGGGCTCCGCGCCTTCGGAGAGGGGTCCTGGGGAAGACAGAAACTGTGGCCAAAGGGACACCCGGGCCCCCTCACCTCAAATAACCGGAGCGATCTGGCTCGCTGGGGACCAGGGCACTGCCCGCCCCTCCCCGGGTTTCACTGTTGGTTTGTTCACAGTGCCACCGTCTTTCTTGCTTTGTGAGCTGTCTCCGGTCCTTCCTGGACTATTTATCTGGTTTGCTCATGGCTGGAAGTCCAGGTGAACGAGCGTTTCAGAGCGGGGACAGGGGCGGAACTGCTGAATGAGGGAGTGAGTTGCTTCTTCCTAACGCTGGAAAGACGGAAGAAGCTTTCAGGCGGCTGCAGCATCATTTCTTGGAAAGACCCAGTGGTCTGAGCGACCGAGGAGTGCCGCACAGAGGAGGGGTCGTCTTCCAGAAGGCTCCGAGGAGGGCCAGCTTCACAGCCACGTGGCCTGGGCCTGCGTTCAGAGGGACCCTGTGCTCACTCAGTTTAAAGCTCCATTGTGTCTTGGGGCGCCTGGGTGGCTCCGTCGGTGGAGCGTCCGACTTCGGCTCAGGTCACGATCTCGCGGTCCGTGGGTTCGAGCCCCGCGTCGGGCTCTGTGCTGATGGCTCAGAGCCTGGAGCCTGTTTCCGATTCTGTGTCTCCCTCTCTCTCTGCCCCTCCCCCGTTCGTGCTCTGTCTCTCTCTCTCAAAATAAATAAAGATTAAAAAAAATTAAAAAAAAAAAAAGCTCCATTGTGTCTTGAGATTGAGACGTTGAACAAGGAGCTTCACTTTTCCACGTCGCACCGGGGCCCCCAGATCATGTCACCCATCCGGGCGTCACAGCAGCGAGCCGGGCAGGCGGGCAGCCGAGAGCCCCCCACGCCCCTGCTGACGGCCCATGCAGGCGCCTCAGCTCACAGACACCCCAAAGAGGGCGCCACAGTCCACGGCACTGATGGTCTGTGATTAACCATCCCCCAACCCCCCAAGAAAAGGAAAACCTGCTAGACGTTACACTTCTCAGGACGGGATCCTGCCCGTCACCTGACAAGTTAGACCTTCTTCAGGCCAGTGAGGAAGGTGGGTAGGGGTGCAGAGTGAATAAGGCCTCGTCAGTGCCACTGCTTAGCCCTTGGGGAGGGACAAAATTTTTCAAACACGGAGGTCTGAATTTCCTTCCATCGAGAGGGTCTTGGCCAGTCCTAAGACCACGTGGGGGTGGTCCACGACCCCTGGGGCTCCTGTGTGCCTCTGTGGAGGTTTCTGGGAAGTGAGGAAGAGGGTGCCCTCTCCCTACTGACTCCCCTCCCTGTTGGGAGCTCAAGGTCCCGGCCATCAGGATGGCAGGACCCTCTTGCATCCAGCACAGATGCCCCCCGGGCAGGTGGATGCCGGCTAGGGCACCAGTCACCAGCCAGTCTAGGGTTTCCGACCACGACAGGGACAGTAGGACTCCTTCGTCCCAATCCCAGAGAGTCAGGAGCTGCAATCTCCCCCGATCCTTCCTTCACACTGAAGGCAGAAATCCTGCCATACCGTCTCCTGCTCAGAGCTCCTTCGTGGCTCCCCGTGGCCCTGAAGAAATGCCAACGTCTCCATGGGGCCTGGAGCTGTGCCATGGCCTCTGCCCCCCACGAAGCATGCACGGGTCACACTGACGCTTCGGTTCACCCGCCACCCTGCTCTCACCTGTTGCCCACGCTCGTCCCCAGACCGGGACACCCTCCCCCTGCCGCCACCACCTTGCTCCTGCCTGTGCAGCAGAGTTGAAGTCACCTGGCCCCACAACCGGGGCCGGAGCTGTGGCTAGGCGGCGAACTGCAGCCCTGTTGTCCTGTTCGCCGTGGAGCCCCCTCCTCTGAGTCTCAGCGGGGCGCAGGTGACATCTCCCAGCCCCTCGTGAGGCCAAGGGCAGGCCGTCGGACTGAGACCAGGAGCGTGGGTGTGCTTGGTCGAAGGGGAATGGCTGGCCCTCTATGGCCCCTCTGCCCACGGACAAGGACAGCACCGAGGTGGAAGAAACCAGGGTCTGTCTGTGCCTCCCGCCAGCCAGGATGCCCCCTCCGCCCCCGCAACCTTGCACGTGTGCTGAGCCTCCAGCAGGTGGCGGCCACCCTGCAGGGAGAGGTTAACCTCTCTCTGAGACAGAGCTTCACTCACTGTGGCGCCCCAGTGCTTCCCATGAGGCCTAAAATGACACCAATGGTAATGATATTGGACGCTGCCTGAAGGCACGTGCAGGGCCAGGCACAGGGCTGAGGCTTTGCCTACAGAGCCCACCCAGTGCTCGCCACAACCAGAAGCCACAGGCAATTACCATCCTCATGTCACAGATGGGAAACAGGCTCAGAGCTAAGTGCTGGGCTAGGTCGCTTGGCTAAAAAGATTTCACTCCATACACTGATTCCAGAGCTGCTCTCTGCTATGACCTCTACTGCCTTCCAGACATCAGGAAATGGGAGACTTGAGAATGACTGTGGATGGATGGACGGATGAGATGGATGGGTGTGTGGGTGGATAGGTGGATGATGGATGGATGGATGGATGGACAGATGAGTGGATGGATGGATGGATGCATGAGATGGATGGGTGTGTGGGTGGATGATTGAGGGATGGATGGGTAGATGGATGGGTGGGTGGATGGATGGATAGGCGGATGATGGATGGATGGATAGGTGGGTGGGTGGGTGG